GGGGGCGCGGGGGGGGAATGACTGCAGTTCCCAGCCAATCGCACGAGTTTCCCTTGCCCTCTCGTGAAAGGGGCAGAGCTTCCGTTTGTCTTTCATCTTTGAAGGAAGCCAAGCTTCTAAAAAGCGGGCCTCGCCCGATTGGCCAATAACTACTTCTTTTCTCCACTTGTGGGCGTTTGCACGGGGCACGGGGCACGGGGAGGTGGCAGTGGCTTGCCAATCAGAGCGGCCCAGGGCTGGCCGATGGCGGATGGCGACCAATAGACGCGGCCAGCCAGAGCGCGCTCCCTCAGTAGGTGGATGGTGGTCGAAGCACCGGCTCCCAGCTCTTGGTCGCCATTTTGTGCTGGTGATTGCGGCCAGCGGGGAGTAGGCGGCAGTGGGTCTCCCGGGGAGGGCAGCGCGCTAGGCGCTTCTCCCCTTCCCCCCGCCGCCTTTCTGCCTCCAGCCTTGAACTTGGTTGTTGCGCGAACCAGCTCCTGCTGAGCTGGGAGAGTTGGCGGAGGTGGCGGAGGGCCGAGGTGATGTCAGGGAGCCCTCCCTTGACAGCCCGAGCAGAGAAGGTGAGAATCGACGCTGGTCGTGGGGGCGGAGGTAAGGGGCTGGAGGTAGGGGGTGCAGGCAGGGGGTGCGTAGATAAGGCGAAAGGGCGGACTGCGGGCCGCAACGCAGGGATGCGTGCGCGGTCTAAGCCTGGGAGGGGTTGTCTTTTCTAAATTTTTACCCCTTTTGAGGGAGCAGAGGCGCGTGCGCGATCGGGAAGCAGGATGGGTGCACGCGGGTTGGGGGAAGGGAGGGACGAATGGGAGTGGGCTACAGTGGTGTCTGCGACACGGAACTTTATCCGTGGGGAGGCAGGTGTCTGCGACTCTGTTTCTTATCTACAGGGGAGGAGATGTGCTGTCTGCTCTGTGTGACTTTGGTACTTATCTATCCGTGGGAAAGTGTTCTGTGGCTGGGATCCTTGGGAGGGGAAGGAAGGAGAACGTCTGTATGACCCTGGTCATTATGCTTGGAGTGTGTGTCTAACTCTGATCCCTGTTCATAGGAGAGGTCCTTATCCATAGGGAGTCTTCTTGGGACTGGCCCTAACCTGCTTACTAGGTAGGGAGGGAATGCAAGGAATGTTTGTATGACTTATTGCCCGCTCTTGTGGGGGGGGGGCGCGGGTGACTGTGACGTTCATCCATTGAAAGGGGGCCTAAGTGTGTGCTTATGGCCCGTATTTATTCTGGGTTCCTGTTTGTGATTTTGGCCCATAGTTATTTGGGCCGCGTGTCTGTGACTGGCCCCTGTCTGTTGTGGATACCAGTGTGTGTGACTTTGGCCCCTTTGCCAGAGTCTACTGAGGGTTTTGTATGTACGCTTATCCTCTGAGGCCTCTAGTTGTGATTCTCTTACCCCTCTGGGAGCAGGTAACTCTGGTTCCCTGTGGCTTGAGGAGGAAGAGAACACTGGGGTGTGTGTATACACAGAGGAAAGGTGTGGTGGCAACCTAGTGTTGGGCAGGTGCTTTTCCTAGCTTTGCCTAAGTGCTGTTTAGAGGAGAGGGCCTGAAGATTCTGGGATACTGCCTGGTGACCCCTGGTGGGGTCACATGGCTCTCAGGACTTCCTTAGATCTCAAGCCCTGAGGGCTGGGTGAAATGACTGCCCTTCCAGCCCAGTAGAATAGCACAGAGGTTCGGAATAGCCTCCAAAAGAGTTCCTTTTGCCTCTGAATAACTTGGGCCCAGAATCCCTGGGGAGAGAGCTGCCTTGGGACCTGGCTGCGCATAAGAGACAGGACTCAGTGCAGAGCCAGTTGACCAGTGAGGTTCAAAGCTGTATTGGCTAGGAGCCCAGGGAGGCGGCAGCTGTCTCATTGCCAAGTTAGCCCCTTCACCCCCTAAGCCTTTCCTGGTCTCCTGCAGTCTTGTAGGGGCCAGCCAGCATCTTGCTAGGAGGATGAAATGGCACCTAGGGGCCCATAGAAGGAGCCTGGGGGTGCCTGGGACTCCTGTTATGAAGTCCTGCATCCACGCTAACGTGCCTGATCTCTAAAAAGTCTTTCAGCACCAAGAGCTCCCCTAGGCAGGTAGCTCTAGCCTTAAACATGTCTACCAGTTTCAGATGTCAAAGCCCTGATCACAGAATGGGTGGCACCACCAGGTATCTCTGCAAGATGCTCCCTGTCTGCTGAAGGCCTTGCTCATTCTAGGCCTCTAGTGAGCTCTAACCTCACATTTGTGGGAAAAGGAAAGGAGCAGACCAAGTAGGGGCTGCCTTCCTGCTCTCGTCCACAGGAGCACTAGGAGTTGAGAAACAGCAACAGCAGAGAGCCTTGACAACAAGGGTTTCTCAAGGAGGAGTTCTCTGCCCCAACTGCCTTAACCCCTTCTTCCTCTCTCTCTCCCCAGAGTCCCTGCAGGAGGCATCACCCAGACTGGCAGATCATGGTGGCAGCAGCGGGGGTGGCTGGGAAGTGAAACGGAGCCAGCGGCTGAGGAAGGGCCCCAGCAGCCCCCGAAGGCCCTATCAGGATATGGAGTATGAAAGACGGTGAGTTACCTGCTTCCACCTTGACCAAACAGCCTAGGCTTGTCCCCATATGAGAACTGATTCAGGAAGGTGCTAGGAGGAGGCTTCCGGGCAGAGGAAACAGTGTAGCAGATGACTGGTTACTTTTAAGCAGACATTTACTTGTGAACCAGGGCTAGTGTGCTAGGCTGTGGGAGTGCCATGGTGAATGAGACTGATAAGATTGTAGCTTTCTCTTTACTCAGGGTCTCACAAGGGAGACCACACAGTTTACAGTGATTCCAAAGCAGTTAGATGGATACCATGGTTGGTTGTGAGGTTAGGAAGGGATCAAGAGAAAGGGAGGAATGGAGGCTAATGTCCAGGTTTCCAGTTTGGGTGACCCAGATAGGTATATGGTACCATTCGCCAAGGTCTGAACAGCCACTGTAGGAGGAGAGGCAGAGATGGGTAGTGGGTTGGTGCCTGTGGATTCTCAGCAGAAAGGTGTGAGCTGGGTTTAAGGGATAGATGAGAGTCAAGAATTTGCCAGGACAAGTATGGGGCAAGCCAGGTCAGATAGTGGGAGGTTTCAAGGGCAGGATGGGCTGAAGTTGGTGTGATACTTGTCTTGGAATGGGACACTCTCATAGTTATTTTTTTTAATTAAATAATACTTTATTAAATTTATTGGGGTGACAATAGTTAATATGAACATATAGGTTTCAGGTGTGGGTTTCTATGTTACAAGATCTGTATATTGCTCTGTGTGTCATACAGTTGTTCTTAAACTCTGGTAGAACAAGAAATAGTTGGGACACTTGATAAAATACAGAGATCCTGGGCCATTCCCTCATCATCCTGGTGTATCACCCCAGTTGATTCTAATGCAGGTGATCTATTCCTTACATTTTAGGATTACATAGGAAAGCAGACCTAACTCTCCCAAAAGCCTCTATTAACAGTCAGTAGATTTATAAAAAGTCAGGAAAAAAATAATTTTGTAATGTCCTACAAAGGATTTCTTCTACCACCAGGTCCTTTAAAAATTATAATATTTTGTTTTCTGAAAAGTGAGCCCAAAATGAGATATGAGCATCATCTAGTGTTATTCAGTCTTGACCTTCTTTAAAAAATGGCTTTTGAAAGTCATTTTATACTGGATGGGATTCACTGGAAGTCCTCTGTGGCAGTTTCCAAATTTGAGTAGGTGACATATTTGCCTTCTTCAGACTTTATTACCAAATAAAGCCACTGGCTTGCTTTCTTTTGGCTTTTAAAAGACCTCAAGTGCAGAGGTTTGAGCTAATCGTACTTGTCCAGTTCACAGTAGGTTTCTATCATAGGTCAGTACAACAGCCTTCTCTTGCCTTAATTTTCCCATTTTAGTCCCAGTTCCCATAGCTGTAGGCAGCTTCACTGTCGTGTTTGAAATGTATTCTTCTAAACTATCTAGTGCTGTTTAGAGTGTCTCTGTTTTCACTTTACACAAATAGAGTGCTAGAGTCTTCATTTTTTCCCCTGAACTTTGTATTACTCAGCACTGCATTTTTTAAAGATCTGTCTGTATTGCCATGTATATGTTAGTCCTTTGCTTCTGACACCATGGGGTATGCCTACTGCCTTTTGCTTAATGATTCCCCCAAGGATGAATGCCTGTTCTTAATTTTGGTGTGTTAAAATTCCATCACTTTTTGTCTTACAATCTGTGCTTTCAGAATCTTCTCTGTACTTACCTCTGGATCACAACAATTGTTTTCACTGTATAGTTTTACCTTTTTCATTCAGGTCTTTAAATCCATCTAGAGTCCAGTTTTGAATATGGTATAAGGTACGTTCTGGTTTTATTTTCCTTCATATAGTGGGCAGTTTCCCCAGTACCATCTCCTAAATAGTCCGTTCTTATTAATTTGTGGTACCTCATCTCATTTCAACTTACCTCATGCACATGGATCTGTCTTGAGTGATCTGATTTGTTTCATTGGTTTACTTGTTCTTTCTTGTGCCAGAACCTTACTGTTTTTATTATTATGGCTTTAAAGAATGTCTTAATAGCCCCCACTTTGCTCTTATTTTTCAAGGTTGATTTAGCCATTTGTGGAGTTTTATATAAAAAGTTTACCAAGTCCCTCAAAAACAATCAAGTATTTTTATTGAGGTTGCATTGAATTTATATATTAATTTGGGGAGCATTGTCATCTTTGTCACCTTTCCCATCGCCTCTTCTCCCCCTCCCCTCCTCCCTCTTCCTCTCTCCCTCTCCCCCCACATATAGCATTTGCCCCCCACCAATCATTTGAGTTAGTGGCAGACATGACCCTTAAGTACTACAGCATGTATGTCCTAAGAACAAGGACTTTTCCTCCATACCCACAGTAAACTTATCAGTATCAGGAAATTTAACATTGATGCAATACTTTGTCTTATATAAATAAAGTCCATATTCAGATTGTTATCAGTTGTCCCAATAATGTCCTTTATTGCTGTTTTTCCCTAATCCAGGATCCAATTCAAGATCACTCATTGCACTGAGCTACTTTGAATTTTTAGTCTCCTTTAATCTGGAACAATTATTCAGTCTTTCTTTGTCTTTTATGACCTTAATATGTTTCATGAGTGCAGGTCAGTAAAGTACAGCATAAGGAATATAGTCAATAATTTTGCGATAACTATGTACTGGATATAGTGCCAGGTAGGTACTGGAAATATCAGGGAGAACACTTTGTAAAGTACAGTGAAACCTCGGTTCTCAAACTTAATTCATTCTGCAAGGCTGTTTGAGAAACGATTTGTTCAAAAACCAAATCATTTTCCCCCATTAGAAATAATGTAAATCGAATTAATCCATTCCAGACCCCCAAATAATTCCGTTTTAACCTTTCTTACATACAGTCCATGTCTAATGTACTGTTGCATCTATAAATAAACACTTATTTTCTTAAATTTATTGCACCACCCCCTACTGGCCTTAAAAGAATCACTTTCAGCATTCATTCCAAGGGTGTCTTTCAGGTCAGCATGAAGCAGCTTCGCTTTTTAACGTATTGCCTCCGTTTATCCAAATCAACAACAGTTTTTCTACCTCTTCAGTTGCCTGTGATCATTGTTTTTTTCACACCCTTAGCAAAATTAGCACTCTTGATGGCACCTTTATGTTTTAAAATTATGCTGATTTGTTGATTTCGCCAGCAACAAAAGCATTCTCTCCTTTGTTTATTGCCCGAGAGACACTTTTTGTAATGTTGAGGTATCAACCTGAAAGGGTTGTCAGGTCGAAAACCTTTGGTTTGGCAACCAAGGCATTTTTATTTTCTATGAACAACTTGGTGGAGAACCAAGTTGTTCAAGGTAGGAGACGGTCAAGAAATGAGATTTGACTCTATGATTGTCTAATCACTGTGCTGTACACCTGAAACCAATACAAAAGAATACTGAAAGTAAACTGTAATTGAAAAATTTTAAAAATAAATTAATTTAAGCTCTAGATAGGTGTGATGAATGTCAGTAGATGTGGTTGAAATAAAAAAGTCTTAAGAAATATATTTGGGAAACTATATCCCTAAGTAAATAAAAGTGTTGTACATCCATGTTTATTAAATAATTAGCCTTCACTCTGAAAATATAAAAAAGCCCAGCTCTGAGATGATTGTATCAGAAGAATAGAAACTCTTCTTGAATATTTATATGTATTTTGACAAATGGTCTTCCTTTATTTAGGTTATGTTTGAACTTAATGTTATTTTCATTAATAAAGCTGAATGAATTTGTCAAAAAATTAACTTAAAATGGTAAAAAAAAAATTGGAAAAAAAAAAGAGTACAGGTCAGTTGCTTTGTAGATGTTTTTCAATTTGAGTTTTTCTAACGTTTACTCTTAATTTTTGGCAGAATTATTTAAGCAATGTTACGTATATTTTTAAAACGCATTTGGCCTGGCCGAGCATGGCTCAGCGGTTGAGCATCGACGTAGGATCCAGGAGATCGGGGTTCGATTCCCGGTCAGGGCACATGCCCGGGTTGCAGGCTAGGCAGCCGATCAATGACTCTCTCATCATTGATGTTTCTTATCTCTCTCTCTCCCTCTCCTTTCCTCTCTCTGAAATCAATAAAGATATGTTTAAAAAAAAAAACACGCATTTGATTAGATACTATATTTAGGATATTTGCTTCTGTGTCCATCAGTGAAGTGGTCCTATAATATACTTTTCTGTTTATGTGGCATTGAAACAAAGCCTCATGACATGAATTGGTCAACTTTTGCTATTTCTTTTTTTTGAAGAAACTTTATGCAAGAATTATCTGTCCCTTGAAAGCTGGAAAAAACTCACCTTTAAAGGAACCTGAGTTTTTTATTATCATTTTGTCTACTTCTGCCAATTTTGGCATTTTATGTTTTCTAGAAATATACTCATTTTGTGGAGGTCCTCATATATTATGGTTCAGTCTAGTTTCCTAGAAATGTATTATGAACCAGGTTTGCCTTTGAGAGGTATTTAATCCAAGTGCTCTGTGGCCAATGAAAAGTATCCCTTACTATTGAAATATTTTCCCTTCCTGAATTTAATATTTT